GTAGTACACACACACATCTATTTACTATCTATTTTATTATACACATATTATATATATATATATATATATATGTATACCGTTCTTTAATCATATTGTGGCAGTGTGTTTTGAGTAAGTGAAAAAAAGGCGCACAATGGTTGTGCTCGCATCTGCGTACTTGAATTATTTCATCTCAGTTAGCTGGATTGCTTACCACCCTGAATACGATCTATGTTAGCCTTGTGTTTTTGACTATATTTTCCTTTTTGCTCTATAATCTGCTGAATGGCTCCTTCCTTGTAGATGTGCGTGCGGGACTGTTTTATCCGTGGCTCAGTGATCCGATACATCCAACTGCCGAGTGAAAAGGTGGATACACAATTATTACAGGTAAGAGATACGTTTGTGATTCTGTAGTCGTAGATACCGTATTATCTACAAGCCTATCACAGCCGTTGTGACACATCTATATATATACTTGCTGATAGGATTTGTATATACTCATAGGCTTTGTATATATCTGCATCATGTGTTTAGCAGTCACAGGATGTATGTGTATACTCTAATGCTTTGTATATATCTGCGTCATGTGTTTAGCAGTCACATGATGAATACATTTACTCATATGCTTTGTATATATCTGCATCATGTGTTTAGCAGTCACAGGATGTATGTGTATATTCATATGCTTTGTATATATCTGCATCATGTGTTTAGCAGTCACAGGATGTATGTGTATACTCTATTGCTTTGTATATATCTGCATCATGTGTTTAGCAGTCACAGGATGTATGTATTTACTCATATGCTTTGTATATATCTGCATCATGTGTTTAGCAGTCACAGGTTATATGTATATACTCATATGCTTTGTATATATCTGTATCGTGTGTAGCAGTAAAGGTACGTAGCAATGTGTATCGCCTATATTCCCGCTACCGCGTAGTTTATTTATTCACAGTTCGTTCGACTACTTCCGCTGTATCGTGGGGGTATAAACGGCAGTGATTAAAGTTTTAGTGCTAACAATAGGTGGTAGTCTGGGATCTTCGTGTAGGCGTCCTTGTTTGTCATTTTGGGGATTGTTGAGATATATTCTGATACTCTGCAATGGATGGTAATTACATACGTGGTGTGCTGTGTTCAATACGCCTTTGCCCCCACATGTACGTTCACCATTGACTGATATGAGGTATGTGTAGTCTGCCCTGCTGCATTCATAGCTATCGCTGCTGTTGTAGTTCACATGCCACATCAAACTTATACTGAATCGAGGTATACTTTGCTTATTAGCATACTTAAGCACAGGGCTGTACCATCACACTTATGTTACATCGATCATCGACTGATCTGGGTTGTGCTCTGCCCATCTTGGGCCCTCGTTATAGTATATCGCATTTTGCTTCAGGCATCATCTGCTTAAAAGTCTCCTTCACACCTTTGTTGTTACACTAGCTTATATCACTGACTTGTCGTATGCCACATGCTACACCCAAACACCCACTGATCTAAAGTTTTTTTGGCCACTGTTTGTAATGCCACAGGACGCGACGAGACGCGAGGCAACCAATCTCAAGGATTCCAAGTAGGTAACAACTAAATAAAATATAAAACATCAACGTGTATCCCATGGTATCTAATTTCAATGATTGTAAGTAGGTAACCACTAAATAAAATATAAAACATCAACGTGTATCCCGTGGCAACTAATCTCATTGATTGTAAGTAGGTAACCGCTTAATAAAATATAAAACATCAACGTCTATCCCGTGGTAACTAATAACAATGATTGTAAGTAGGTAACCACTTAATAAAATATAAAACATCAACGTGTATCCCGTGGTAACTAATCTCAATAATTGTAAGTAGGTAACCACTTAGTAAAATATAAATCATCAACGTGTATTCCGTGGTAACTAATCTCAATGATTGTAAG